TAATGGACCTTCCTCTTGACCCAACCAGAATTTGTTCTAGGCTAGTATTTTTCGCTTGTTACACGACAAAAATTTCTTCCCTGGCTTTTAAAGTGTTGATGGTTGTCTTTTCTTCCTTACTCTTTATTTGTATTTTTATCTTTATAATATTGTTATTTTCTTCTTGCCACTTTATTTTGTTTTTCATTGTTTCTGTTGGGTTTCCCAGTCTGTGAAGCACAGAAGGAGTCGGTGAATAGAGACAATGACTGACGCCAGGGTTTATCAGGGATGTGGAGTGGGGAGAATGCAGGGAGGGCGAGAGTAATTTGGAGAGCAAATAATGAATGGGGGAGCAGGGAGGGAATACCAGAACTGATTGTAATGATGTATATACAGCTCATTTTAAAAGCCATTTAACCATGGAAGTATATAATATGTGAATACTATATCAAGAAAACTACCACACACACACACACACACACAATGAGAGAGGGAGAGAAAGAAAGCAAATTGGACCAATTGTTGCCATAGGTGAGGGGGAAAGAGTTGTTGCTTAGGGGCAATAAGTCTATGTCAATGGTGGTGGAATAATTTGGAAAAGGATATTATTAATGGCTGCACAATACAAGGAGTATAATCAATAGTATTGAATTATGCAAGTAGAAGCTGTGGAATTGAAGAATGTTTTGTGTGTATTTTTGCCACAATTAGAAAAAATCTCATTGCATGAAAAATAATGAGTACAAGGAAGAAGAAAATGTTCTAGAATTAAATGTGGTGACAATTGAACAACTCTTCTTGATATGATTGAATTATTGAATTGTATGACATTTGGATGAAGTGCTCATAAAACTGTTACAAAAAAACAAACGAGTTGCAGTGTTGAAACTTACAGGGACCCTGTCCTATAGGGTCGCTATAAATTGGTATACACTCGATAGCAGTGAGCATGAATAAAAGGGGCAGGAGCCCTGGTGGCCCTGGTGAGTAATCACTGGCTGCTAATCACAAGGTTGACAGTTCAAACCCACCTGGCACTCCACTTCTCTGATAAAGATGCGCAGCCTTGGAAACCTTACATAGGGTAGCTGGGAGTTGGAATTGACTCCGTGGCAGTGAGTATAGAGGGGGTATGTATTAAAATTACTGTACCAAGTATCTCCAAATCATATGCAAGCCAATCAATATTTCTCCAAGTTTGCAGCTATCATGTTGACTGAAGGCGTCTTGGTGGTGCTGTGAGTCAGGGATGGACTGCTAGCTTCAAACTTGTGGTTCAAATCCACCAGCGATCCGTGGAGAAGCACATCCGTGGAGAAGCACGAGGGTGGCTGTGAACATGGAGCAACTCGATGGTAGTTGTTAATAGCTGAGTCAGACCTATCTTTTTCTCTTCTCTCAGCATGGCCAAATCACCTGGTCAGTAAGCAGGATGGCCATATGCAGGATGACCAGCATCCCTTTTGCCATCACGTGGTTTGGTTTAGATAATCATTTTTTTATTTTACTCTATCTAAAGTACAAGGGCAAGTGAACTGATCATGTGGAGCTGTTAGTGATGCTCTAGAAGGCATCAGTGAAAAAGGTCTATTTCTCACAATTACTGGTGAAAAGGTTGCTCATGGGACTACTAACCTCAGGGTCAGCAGTTCAGAAACTCACAAGGGCAGTTCAACCCTGTCCTCTCAGGTCAGAATTGACTCAATGGCAGTGAGTTTGGTTTTTCTTTTCTTTTGAGCACACACCCACTGGAATGACCCTGGTATAACAACTGAAGCCCAGTTTTCATTTGAAATGGGTATTTTTAGAAATAGTTTTATTGGCACTTTGTCCATGTAGCATATGATTCAATAGCTCAACCATATCATGAAGAGTTGTACAATCTTTACCACAATCAATTTTAGAATATTTTCCTTTTTTCCTATACTCATTGTTATTCATGTATTATTTTTTCCATTTTGGAAAAAATGTACACAATGAACATTCACCAATTCAACAACTTCTACATGTATAATTCAATGTCATTGATTATACTCTGTGTTGTACAATCATGACTGCTAACCCTTTCCAAATTGTTTCACTTCCATTAAAATGAATTCAATGCCTTCTAAGCAAAAACTCTTCCTCCTTAACCCCTGGTAACCATAGATCAAGTTTGGTCTCTCTTTTTTTTAATTTTAAGCAGTATTATTGATATAATATCCACATATCACAAAAATATGGAATGCTTCATGTATTTGCATGTCATCTTTGTGCAAGAACCATGCTATTCTTCTCTATATCATTCCAAGTTTGGTATACATGCTGATGTGGGCACAAAACAGGTATTTCTTATGAACCTTAGGAAAGTCAACATTTCTAGAGACTTGGACTTTTGAATTGTCATATTCTCCTTTCCTTTTCTTTTAAAAAAATCATTTTATTGGAAGCTCATACAACTCTTATCACAATCCATACATCATCCATCCATTGTGTAAAGCATATTTGTACATTCATTGCCCTCATCATTCTCAAAACATTTGCTCTCCACTTAAGTCCTTGG